GTGTGTGTGTGTGTGTGTGTGTGTGTGTGTGTGTGTACTTGTTTCTGCTACAGAGTGAGGACTGTCATCTTTTTAACCAACAAACAGGACATTTTCCAGGTCCTCACTTTTTTTTACAGCTCTACTGCGCTCTAATAGTTAGGTTTAGAGGTATGGTGTGAATTAAGTTTTGGTTCAGGTTAGGATTAGGAATAGACTAGTAATGGTTAGTTTTAGGGAAATTGTCTGGGCTAGACATAAATGCAGTTACAAAAATGAATGGAAGTCAATACAAAGTCCTCAGTTTAATGCAATTACAAGGGTGTGTGTGTGATTATTATTTATCTGACTTGATGAACTCTGAGATGAACACAGAACCAAGTGTATTAGTCACTTTAAAACCCTTAAAATGACTAATTAATAGATAACAATGCCTTTATTACGCAGTAATAGGCAAATACATTGTAAATATTGAGTTATTTCCTGCCAAATAGTGAGCCAACAATGGGCAATGGTTCTCAAATTTCACAGCTTTTGACCCAGAAAATAACCTCAGAGACCTGAGCCCCAGATTATTTTTGTTTTTTAATCATTGGTATCAGGTAAAATAAACAAGAGCAATATTCATTATGCTACTTTTTATCTGTTATTTATTTATGTTATGTTTATCTAAGCTAACCTCACTTTGTTGTAACAACTAAAGCAAAAAAAATGTTGATTTTTAAGTGTAATTAAGTTAAAAAAAACTTTCAGACCCAATCTTGATGTTTCGGGACCCCACCGTGCATAACCATTTCAACCATTTATTGTTTGTATATAAAAATCACCAAAACAATTCCATTAAAGAATTAAAACTCTGTATAACTCTGTTTCCTTTTCCAAATACAAGCTTGTAACTGTGGGCTTTATTCTTTTATAATTTTAATAAAGAAATAAAGGACATAATGAGGGTAAGAAAGGGGGGCTTTAAGGGAAATAGTTTGGGAACCACTGCTCTGTATGACCCTAGTGCAGCAGGAGGGTTCATCTTTTTCATTGTTGCTTTTTATCTTGTGTAATTTTTTCTTAAAGGAGACATATCATGCTAAATGTACTTTTTTTGCATTTATAAACTATTTTTTGTGCAATTAGTGTCTAGGAGTGAAGAAAACTTTAATTTATTCTGTCCAGTTACTGCAAAGATATTTTTTTATTGGTCAAATTTTTCAGTTTGTTCAAAATCTGCTGTTGCTTATTTCGTTTCATTGTTTATTTTGTCACACTTTTTTCTTCAGAACTACCATCTATGGTAATGTATTTCCGGCCAGCTGGATTTCATAGTCCGCCATTTTTTTCCTCGCTGTGTGATTTTGTAGTTCATAGCGTCATGCCTAATATGCAAGTTCAGAAGTCAAAATGTTCGGTTCTGGGGTGTGTAAACCCACATTATTATCTACATAGACTACSAGCGTCAGAGCAGAGCTTCTTCAAAGTGCCTGGTTAAGTTTCATTTTTCAAGGAAATGGACCCACAGCAGGACAGAAAGTGCTTGCGGACAACACAGGATGAATGTTACAACAACAAGGGTGAGTTATGAACTGTAACTGTGTTTTAACTGTCTAATTTAGCTGTTTCTACCCTCTGTGTCGGAATATGAGGGGACAAAGAACAGCTGTGTTTAAGTTTCTTTACCGAACGGGTGCTCAGCACCATGTTTTACTTTCACTTTCGCCCCGCACTGTAATCAGCGTGTCCGTAGCACCATGTTTTACTTTCACTTTCGCCCCGCACTGTAATCAGCGTGTCCGTGTTGTTTTTCTTTTTTAAAAATGCTGGAGCGTTTCAAACTGTGATCTAAAGTCAACGTCAGCTGTTTTAAATGCATTTTTTGCCTGGTGTTAAAAACGGGAGCAGCAGAATGAGGCAGAGAAGCTGTGAGCGCTGTGTGTGAAGTCCTCATAAGGATATCAAGATGGATGTGTGTATCTCCTTTTTTTTCTCTGTGTTGCTGTTTTTGCATCAAAAAAGTTGAGAACATAGTCATTTTATGTAACAAAATATATTAATCTTATTAATATTCAAATAAAAACAGACTATTTAGCACTAGATAAAATAAGTAATGAATTTATTATTTTTTTTTTTAAGAAAGAGCTGAAAGAAGAAATCCTGTGTGGCAGCACTTCATACAGCCTCTTCAGACAAGGCTTAGTTAATAAATGTTTTTTTTAGTTTGTTTTGTTTTAAATTAAGACTTGTGTAACATTTGTTATCATTCTTATTTTTATCATGTTAATGGAGGGAGGAAGAAAAAGTAGTATCGGCTTCAAGAATTGGCCAAAAAATGCCGGCTGCAGTGTTGTTTTAGTCACTCTGTATTTATGGGTTTTTTTTTTTTTCATTATTCAAAATACTGTGTGTTAGATGAGTTTTAATGG